TTCTTTTCTACTCTTCGTGAAATCTTGTTCACATCTTGATTAAGATATAAAATCTTCCTTGGGCCCAACATTGATCGAATCAGCACGTTTTAGTGCCCATTAGGACGCTCAAACGTTCTTATAGTATATTATTGTCTGCCTTAGGGCGTTTTAGCGCGCTGTTGGGCGCTAAAACGCCTTCTTCGAAAGGTATTTTGAGTCTGTCAGCGTGTGTTAGCGCGCTGTTGGGCGCTAAAACGCGCTCCTTTAGTGGATTTCTTCTATTTTTCTTCATTAGAGCATTTTAACGTGCTATATGCACGCTAAAATGCTCTTCTCGAGCTAGAAACTACTTGTAACTTGCTTCCTTTGAGGCTTTCAATCATCACTTTGCATTCCTTTTGCTCCATAACGATTTACTTGATGTCAAAATCCCTTGAAATAAGAAATATTACAAGATGTTAGCTAAATATTCAATCTTTATGACTTTATGGTGTAAAACCCTAATTTCCATGCAATTCATGATATATTTCTTGTATAATTAAGCCTAAAACCATGGTAAACCAAGGGTTTATCACTTCTTCTTCTAAGTCTCCATTTAAAAATGCATTATTTACATCAAATTGCTCGAGTGGCCAGTCCCTGTTAGCTGTTATAGAAATCATAATACGAATTGTGTTCAATTTTGCTACTGGTGCAATTGTATCTTGGTAATCAACCCCGTATTTTTGTGTGTATCCCTTAGCAACTAATCTGGCTTTATATTTGTCAAGACTGCCATCTATTTTAAGCTTCACATTAAACACCCATTTCAATCCAATTGGTTTCTTCCTGGTTGGTAAAGGAACCAGTTCCCACGTTGAATTTTTTTGTAAGGCCTTCATTTCTATATTCATGGCTTCCTTCCAATTTGGATCATCCAAAGCATCTTGCACATTGTTAGGAACAAATATACTAGACAATTGACTAACAAATGCGATATATGATTATGACAACTTATGATTGAACATGTAGTTACTGATAGGGTATTTGACCTTAGAGTTTGGTTCTGGTTCATATAGCTATTTTGGTACACATTTATTTGGTCTTTGTGACACTCTAACAGGTAAGATGAGATCATCTATGATATTTGAAGAAATAGGAGTAGGATTAGTGTTTACCTCAAGTATAGATTCAGGAATATCCAGGGATGATGCCTCAATTATAGGTGTTAGACATGTAGCAAAATCATTCGAGGGAAGGGTAGCATCCGGTTCGGGAGTGTGTTGAAGAGTTGTAGGGCAGTGAAGAGGAGGAGAAACAGTTTGAGTTTGATTATTGAGCAAAAAATATGTGGACATTTCTTCTCCAGTAGTAGGTATCTCCCCCTGAGAAGAAGTAACAGAATCTCCCCCTGAATAATATGGTTCCAATTCTCGAAAAGACATGTCCATGGTGACATGCATTTTGTGGAGAATGAGATCATAACACCTGTAACCTTTTTGTACAACAGAATAACCCACAAATACATATTTTTTAGCACAAGGATCCAATTTGTTTCGTAATACCTTGGGGATATGGATATACACAATGCATCCAAAAACACGAGGCTCAAGGTTGGAAAAATGAGGAATGGAGAAATAAGATACCAGTGTCTGTTGTGGAGTTTTAAAGTGAAGGGCGCTAGATGGAGTACTATTAATGAGGTAGGCAGCAGAAACAAGAGCTTCACCCCAATAGGTTTTAGGAAAATTCATACCAAAAAGGGAGGCACTGACCACTTCTAGTAGTTGTCTATTTTTTCGTTCAGCAAGGCCATTCTGTTGCGGTGTATAAGGGAAAGAGGTTTGGTGTTGGATCCTCTGTGTGCTCAAGAAATCAATAAAGCGGCCATCTAAATATTCCATGCCATTATTAGATTGTAGAATTTGAATCTTAGACTAATATTGGGTTTGGACCATGCTGTAGAAATTTTTGAAGGCAACAAAGACATCACTTTTGTAGTGACAACCAAGTCATTCAGGTACATTCATCAATAAAAGTCACATAATAGTAAGCTTTTCAGAAAGAAAGCACCTTTGCAGGGCCCCAAACATCGGAATGAACAACTTGAAATGGAATAGAACTTTTATTAGTACTAGAAAAATAAGGAACTCTGTGACTCTTGGCCAATTCACAAGTACTGCATTTGAAATCAGCATTATTAAAATGGGAAAAAAACTGAGGAAACAACTTTTTCAGATAACTAAAGAAAAGGTGACCAAGTCTTTGATGCCAAAGCCAAATGGTAGCACGGGACTATTCTGAACCGGTTGTTGCACATGTAGTAACCAAAGAAGGATGGCTAGGATCAGGAACCTCCAAGAAGTAAAGCTGGCCACGTCTAACACCATAACCAAGAGTCGTCCGAGGCAGGATATCCTGAAAAACACAATGAGGGAAAAAAGGTTACTGAACAATTAAGCTTTGAAGTTAATTGGCTGACAGAGAATAAGTTGTATTCAAGAGAGGGTACAACCAACACAGAGTCTAGAAATAAGCTATCAGAAAGGGTTAAGGATCTTTGACCAGTAATTTTTGAGGTACCCCCATTGGCAGTGGAAATAACGGATTGGGAAGAAGTGCAGAGATTGAACAATTGGGAAGAATCTTTAATCATATGATCAGAAGCACCTGTGTCAATTATCCAAATATTATTCCTAGACAATGTATAGAAAGTAAGAGACTTACCCAAAATACCGGATTGAATAAAATTAGTAGCAGGGACAGGAGCATCTCTAGCGGAGACAATGGTCATGGCTTTGGCAGGTATTTTCTTCCAGGGACGTTTATTGAAATCCCACCATTCAGGATACCCAATCAGCTCATAACACATATGTTTAGAATGACCAGAATCACCACAATGAGAGCAAACCAGGGAGAAACTGCAACTAGAGAGATGCTCCGCGCAGGATTTTTAAGACTGAGGAAGTTGTCCAATGCGAGAATTATGGGCCAGCAGGGCTGAAAGATTCATAGGAGGTTTTGAGATTGTTCATGGGAAAAGAGAAATTCAAAATGGGTAACAAAAAAAGAAATTCAAGTCAGGAAAATTGATGCAAATTGATACTGGGTAAAAGAAGAAGAATACGATATGGGAGTTTTAATGAAAATAGATTCCTGGATCAGAAAAGCTTTGATACCATGTCAAAACAATGGTGCCATCTCATGAATATTTCTGCATGTTTATTCTTTCTCTACTGGGATAATTATATACATAAATGAGGACTCTAGGTCCATTACAAATTAGTTGTCAATCAGCTATAAATAAGGAAATGAAATAACATGTTACTATTTCTATTTAATACAAATCTCCTATGACTATTCAAATAAGGAAATTAATCTATTTAATAAAAATCTCCTATGATTATGTAACTGCAATCAATGATAAAAATTCCAATAATTGTATAGCTCAACAAATATTATCTCATTTCAACAATTTTGTAGGCTCAATTCCATATTATATATTTTCAATATATTCTCAATGTATTTTTTTTTTGAGAAAGCCAAAACAATTTTCTTTTATGTCTTTGATTATTTTGATTCCAAGAATTTGTTTTGCAGGACTGTGGTACTTCGTTGCGAAAGATAAGCTCAACTTCATCTTATTTTACCCTACAATTAACATATTGTAAATATATAAAAGTAAAATCAGAAAGCCACCGACTTCATACCTCTTAACAAATATGCAGTAGTTGGCGTCTATTTTAATGAACTTACATTCAATCATGAAATATTCAAATTTCTTATAGCACTGTTGAGATACTTGCTTTTAAGTTATGAAGACTCTTCACTAGCCACCGGCGTACAGTATACCAATATAGAAATATTTGACACTATGCTTGCTAGCATACTAGATGAGAAGTAATACTCAATTATTTTGTCGTTAAAAAAGAGTTCTAATTTGGTCCACTAACAGTATGAATGTTTTTTATATTAGCATTTAAAAATAAGTTAGTCTATCATGATTTTTTTTTTAAATTTTAATTCTAATGTTGTGATTCTGATTGTCAAATTAATACTTTCATTGATTTGGTAATAATTAAATGAATTGATAATAAATTTAAAATCTTCTTTTTGTCCATTTTACCCCACCAAACAATAAATAAACATAAAAGATATAAGTGACTAAAAACAGAAGTATATGAGCGTTAGAGATAAAAAAAAATTAAAATTAAACCACATGGAATTTTCAAACTTTTCCGTGTTACAATTGAAAAAATGAAAAAAAAAAAAAACTTGATATGAGGAATAATATAAAACTTAACCAGTTAAAAAAGAATTAATCTGTTAGTCTTATTAGGGTAGAGAAAAAGGCTAAATTATTTGTTTGGCTACTATCAAATTCAAAAGTATCTGCCAAGTGCCAACAAACCAAATTTTTTGTGTCTCTTTTATATATAATCGCATATTTGCATAAAAAAAACACATTTGAATTATAATTTGCAAATAATGGTTTGGTCCAACGGAAAAATTATTAAAATTCTTTTATTTTTTCTCAAAGTATGGTTTAAGACTTAAAATTAGGTTTAAATATCATGATTTTGTCATACATATTATTACCAGATAAAACTATGGGGTTTGATTTTCTCATGTTAAATGAGAATTCAATTCTCATGTTGTAGAGATAAAAAACATGTGGGACCCATGTGTTAGAAAAAATTATATGTAAGACTCATGTCAGCACGGAAATCGAAGGGTGTGTAGAAAAATTTGAATTCTCATGTTAAATGAGAATTATAAAACCCTAAAACTATATTTACGTACCTTAAATTGAGATTTTGTTGTGCAAACCATAATTGAAGCATGCGAATAATTAACAATGTGAATTGATAGGACCGAAACTTGAGTTACTACAGACACTATGTTAACATAGTCCCACACATATACCAATTCATTTGAAAATCGGAATGTAAATATAAAATTTCATACAATTATTTTGAAAGATATTGACAACCCTTCATGGCAATAAAAATGCACCAATTAATGTTGACTTCATGCTATTACTTTACAACTGGAAGATCAAGCTTGGCAGGTGCAAGTTCAGGATCCGCTAAAATGGCATCAAGATCTTTCCACTGAGCATTAAAGTGACCCTTCAAGAAGGCAACAATTAACCCACCCACTGTCCTTCTCATTAAGTCCTTAGGACCAGTCCCATTCTTACACATACACTTTGACAAAATAGTACCAACCAGCCCAGGTGTTTCATCATCTAACATGTCCATGTGACCATAGTCCTTTGCAACAAAATGTACACAAGGGGGTTTGCATTCATTGAAAAACTCATCATGGTTCACCCCATGAGGAGCACAAGGTGGAGCACAACAATTGGGCTTCTCTGGGCCTAATCCAGTGCCAATTACAGCTACGGGTATGTTTAAATTGAAGGATTCAGGCACACCCGTTAGAATATGAGGAAATGTTCTACAAATCTTACACTTAGATAAGCCAGCTACAGGGTCTATGCCTACAAGTGCTGAAAAATTGAGCTTAGTTTTAGCATAACCAAGTGCCACAGCAAATGCAGTTTTTCCACCTTTACTGTGGCCAACTAGAACAAGGTTCTTCAATTTGGCTTGAACATGCTCAGGAAGCAGAGGTTGAAGTTCCTTGGCTATCCAATCCACAACTTTTCCTGCAAATTCAACCTCATTTGGTCCAGACAAAGGCAAGCCATTGCCAAACTAAGACGGCAAACCCAAAATTTATGTTAGAGAATAAAAATAAAAAAATCTTTTTTCGTGTCAAATTTGTTAAGAAATATAATAAAATCACTCAGTTATTGATTTCTCATGTCATATGATAATTTCCTTTTCTGTTAACACAATAAATATGTGGGTTTCACTGAAATATTTTTTCTCTTTTCTCTTTTTAGTGGGATTCACGTGTTTGTCGTGTCATCAGGAGAAGAAGTTTTCTCGTGTGACATGAGAAATCTTTAACCTAAAGTTTTTAGTAGAATTGGTTCAATAACATGATATTAGAGCGTGAGCTTAAGTTTGACACTTGTCACCCAATTTACCAAATAAAAAATAAATTTAAGCAAGGTAACTAAAAAAAAAAAATTAGCATATCCATTATCATGTTTCAAAAAAATAAAAACAAAATAAGGTGTCAAGTGAAGGGGTGTTAAGAGGAGTGATATGATAAAATCATTTATGTGCATCCTCCTAATGACTTAAACTTTTTAGAAGAATTGTTTGGGTGATAAAAAAAGTTCACAATATATTGATTAATGATATTTTAGTTTTTAATTAATATGGTACAAGCGGTTAAAACGTTACTAATCTCAGTAATCTGTTAGCTAATTTATACAAAATACAACTTATTAAACAATAATTGAGTTATTTTTAACTAGTATAAAAATAATAATAATAAAATTGGTTTGTAAATAAAATTCATGATGCAAAACTAACCCCAGAAATTAGGACGAGACAAGGACATATATTAGGGTTATATTTATTTTATTTTATATGAGATAACTAAATTTTCTACACACAAAAGATGGGTGTGTCCCATTTCTTCTTTTTTCTCTCCTCTTACCTATGGGTCCCACTTGCAATCTTGTTTCTACAACATAAGATAACTATTTTTCTACAACATAAGAAAATTATTTCCCTATATAATAAAGTGTTTCTTTTACAGCATTTTTTTTCATACGATTCATCACAGCTTGTTTGAAAAAATAATATAGACAGTGGTTGTAATACGTATTTATTAATTATTAAAAGTATTGTATAAAAATTATGCAATGATAATCGTACTTAACGGTGGGTTTTTTTTCGGAAAAAGTGTGTATCATTTTAAAAGATGTAAAGTTGTGTCAGTTTATTTGTATTAAAAAAAAAAGTTGTGTCAGTTTAAGAGAGAGAAAGAGATAAATAAATGAGGAGAAATAGTTAACAAAAAAATAAAGGTGTGGATCTCACCTCTTTGTGAGAGCGAAATGATATAAATTGCGTCATTTAAAAGGAAAAAAAAAATCCTTTTTTTTTTTTTTTCATTTTTTGGTATCCGTACTCAAGGGTGGTTTGTTAACCAATAACTACCACAAAACACAAAAAAACTATACTTTATTTAATCATTAAAATAATATAAATAAATGACAAAAAATAATTTAATTAACAACACAGATTTTTTAATTTTTAATTTTTTTAATAATTAAATCCACATCACAAAATCCTAAGAAAGTTAAAAACACAAAAGTTAAATTTGACATGATAGTGTAATGTAAAATATTTAATACATTTATTTATAAATTATCAGTTGATAATTAAAGTGATAATTTTGACTTTTTCATTTATTTATAAATTTTTTATTAAGATTATGACCATTGATTTATGAATACTGAGATATCTCATATAATATAATATGGTAAAAGAAAACATGAGAAGATTTATTTTCAAAGTATATTGAGAAAACATAATTATAAATGATAAAGTGTTAAGGAGGTATACCAGTTGAGGTGCAACAACTATGAATCCATGTGAGGCTAAGTGGCCTAGGAGCTTTGAATAGAAGCTATTGCGAATGCAGAAGCCATGGCAGAACATTATTACATAGTATGCGCCAGTCACGGTGGGCGTAAAGACCAGCAATGGTTTTGGGGGTGAGGAAGTGGTGGATGTGTCCACGTTGAATTGCCTCCATTTGATATCTCCTTCTTCAAAAACACTTTTGGTGCCCAATTCTGGTTGAGCTCTCTGTGACAACGCCATCATCACTCTTCTTTCTTACACCAAAGCCTTTGCTTGTGAAATGAAGAATTTAAATTTAAACCTACGCATGTACATAGATTTCTTTTCTTTTTATTTTATTTTGGGATAAAGGTGATGTTGATGTTGATGTTGATGTTGATGTTGATGTTGATGTTGATGTTACATAGATTTCTTTTCTTTTTATTTTATTTTTTTTGGTGAATGCGTGTAGATATTTGTTGTGACAAGTGTCAGTGTCTCATTGGCTTTTTTTTAGGGGAAAAAGAAGTATCATTTAAAAGGACACAAGTTTTGTCCTTTTAGATGATTTACACAAAGTATGACCGGTCATACTTTGTGTAAATCTTGAATATTACTCTTTTTTTTCTCCGCCCCCATTCACATCGCTGACGTGTAAAGTGAAAAAAAAAACTTTTCAGAATTACACAGAGTATGACCGGTCATACTCTGTGTAAGTCACTAAAAAACCATAACTTGTGTCCTTTTAGATGACACATACTAAACCCTTTTTTTAGTGCCAGATATCTGTGTACGGTAAAGTTTACAATAAAGATGGATTTTTTACAATAGAGATGGATTTTTTTAAGTGATCCGGGACCACTATCCATTGGATAGTCATTTTTCCAAAATGGAAGATTTTTTCCTATTTAAATTTATTAGAGATATATGAAATTATTAATGTAAATCACTCAACAACTTAAGTTTTTGGGTTGAATTGATTCTAATTTATATGATATCAGAGCCTCCGTGTTATGGGTTCGATCCTCACATTCCCCATTTAATTAATAATTAATTACGTCTTGTGGAGTTTCTTAGCATAGGTAGGCTGAGCTTGATGCATCATCCATCCTTCAAGCCAAATGGGCTCTCGTGTGAGGTGACGATTAGAAATATATAAAATCATTAATATAGCCTCACTCAACAGATTAAATTTTTGACTTAAATTAATTTTTACATAATCCCTTCCTTTTTTTCATAATCCTTTTTCTCTCCATTTTTGGACAAGGAGCATGTGCTCGGCGAGTACCAAAAATGAGCTCCAATAGACACCCCACTATTTCAGCCGTAGGCCGTGAAGTATTTTACATGAATGGTAGAAATTTAGGGATGCAATATTATGCCTATGCCTGCTGTATCTACTTGTCTTAATACCATTAAATTAAAATTTCAATTAACCTTCATATTTTTTCTCTTGTCTTGAGATTATGATGTAATGATATTATAAATGAGTAGATATAATAGATATAAAAAAAAGGTATGCATAATATCCTCCTCTTGAAATTTAATAAGGACAATTTGGTTGGTAAGCTTCGTTTTTTTTTTTTAATATTGTTTTTTATTTTAAATGTAACTTTTGTATCATGCATTTTGCAAACTTATGTTGTTGTTTTGTTTTTAGTCCCAAGTAGTAATCCTCATGTTTTAGTTTGTTGCCTCTTTTTTACTAACATACATTGTGCGATTTTTTTATTTTTTTTTGTAATATGGAGGGGCCAAGCCCCACAAAAAACAAAACTACATTATTCTACTAATACCAGAGGATACATTCGTTGCATCCTTTGACAGCAGTTCCATTAAACATGGTGGAGGAGATAAATTTGAACCATGATATTGTTTATATCATAATTCTTCGCTAACCAGTGGGCACAAGCATTGTTTTTCGTGCAAACATGAATGCAACAAGCCTCCCAATCCACAGCAAACCATTTTCGAATCTGTAACACTACCCTGGATTCCCTAGGATCCTCGTGACCCGCCTGCACTAGTACTAACGCAATAGCATTAATAGTCACATATGAATAGTAGAGTTACCAAAAGAATCGCCAGTGGTTTTGAACTTTTGATGGAAGTGGATTCTCTCACGTGAAAAAGTGGTCAGTGATCATGTTATTTGATCACAACCACTTATTTAAAAATTATACATTTTTCTTTCTCTTATTTCATCGTCAATGAGTGGTTGTGATCAAATAACATGACCACATGACCACTTTTCCACGTAAGAAGATCCACTCTCACTTTTGATACACATATGAATCAACATGATTGATTTCCACTGAAGTAGATGGGATGTTTTGTTGATACATGAATGTTAAGTGAAGGTTCGGACTGTGTTGATACACAGATGAAATACTCCTATCAGATTCATCCTCAACTTCCAATGCAGAACCTACTGAAGCAACTGCTAATTTGACACGTGGAGAGGAGGCTGTTACGTAGCTTTGAAGTTCACCTACTTTCAGTTTTGTTTATCAACAACTTTCTGTTGTTCAGTTAGCAGGTTTCCTTGTCAGTTATTGCTAGCAACAGTCTTAACTTAGCTTTAGCTTTCCTGCAGCTTTACCAGGTGTTAGGTGTATGTATATAAGTGTCATGAGACTGTACTTTGTAAATCACTTTTCCAAATAATGAATTTCTCGATCAGTAAGATGGTATTTATCTAGAGTTGAAGTTTGATACTTCAACCAAATGCTGGTACCTCGATTAATAGTAAAACAATTAAATAAGTGGAAAGAAAAAAGATTTTGGTTCAATTCCTGGATATTATTTTTGTGAAAAATTTAAATATTTTCATTCCTGATTCACTTCACACTCTGGATGAATTTCATACTTGACTAAAAGAGTTAAAATTTGTAAGGATACAATAAAAAGCCAATTTGTCTCAAAGAAATAATTAAAGTTAGTTAACTTAAAAAAAAAAACGAAGTTTGATATAGCAAACCAATAGAATTGGTCTAATTATAAGAAATTTAAATAATTTATATTAAATTATGTGTTAAATTTCTATATAAAAAAAAAATTTGATACAGCGATAATATGATGTATAGTTTCATAACGTATTTGTGGTATGATTTTTTTAAGCACAAATGCTCCACGCTGCTAGGCCCATGTCCTGCTTTAAGGTCACTGTGGTCCAGTCGACAGTCAATTTCGTAGTAAATACATAGGGGACCGTTTTTTTTTTAATTTTTAATTTGTTTCATCCTGTAGGTATCTTCATAATTTTCGTTAGTGATGATTCTTCATTTTATCTCCCTATTTAGAACTAATATTCATATTATCATTACGAGGTTTGCATTTGTCATTTAACATAACACAACAAACTTTCCTACACACAACATTGTGTGGAGCCCACACTTTTTGAAGAAAAAAAAAATATTACGGCACGCAAAACGAATCTCTATAACATTACACAATCATTTTTCCTACAACATAACTCTTATAAAACCCTATCATTATACTCATCATTTTGTATGCTTGGTTCCATATTAAATATTTTCAACATCTTTTCAACAAATTTTTATTTATTTTATTTTTTCTAGAAGGCCAAAACAATCTTCTTTGATGGTCTCTGATTATTTTGATTCAAAAATTTGTTTTATAAGACCAAATTTTTTTATTGCGAAGGACAAGCTCAACATCTTTTTCGGGGCAACTATCTTTATTTAAAATTATCCTACAATTAATATATTGTCAACATATAAAAGTAAAATCAGAAAGTCATCAATCTCATATCTCTTAATAAATATGCAATAGTCTGCATTTATCTTCATAAACTTACGTTTAATCATAAGGGATTCAAATTTTTTATACCACTATTGAGATACTTGCTTTAAATTATGAAGACTCTTCACGCCACTGGCCCAGTGGTGGACCCAGGAATTTTTTCTGTGGGGGGCTAAAAATTAAACATTTGTTTCTCTTTTCAAACATAATATATGAGAGGCCAAAATATGAAAAATTAAATATTTGTTCCTCTCTTCAATCACAATATGTGGGAGACCGAAACACCAATCCAGAGAACATAACTCATAAATACCTCTTTTAACTTGTTATAGAGAGAAAGAAGGGGGGGGAGAGAGAGAGAGAGGTGGAAGATGTCACAGTAAAATCTACTATCAATTTGAAAAAAATTACACATTTTCAACCCCTAAAATGAACATTTTTTATGCAAAGAAAACAAAGAAAAAGAGAATAGAGCAAAGGTTTAGATTTCACAAAAAATATATACTAATTACTATAATCTAAATAGATAATTCAAAGCAGACCTCTCTCATTTCTTAACCTCTTTTCCTATTTACTAGCCCAACAAGAAAAAAAAAAGCCAAAGATAAATCAGAAGAGACAGATTGCCAAGAAGCACAATCACCAAAACCCTTCTGCCCCTCACTTCTCTCTCTGTCACGAATCATCATAAAAGAAGAGGGATCGAAAGAATAAGGTTCATTTTTTCATAAGACTCACGGACTTCTTATTTTTATTTGTGGATGGGAAGATTTGTGCTAACATCTAAGCATAATAAAAGTTGAAACTGTTAGTTTCAAGTCGAGGTTTAAACTATAATTTAAGGGGAATATTATATTTACAAACTACTTCACATTAATGGAGAGAGAAAATGAAGATTTCTTACATTATACTTATGTTAAAAAAATTCTTCAAATTTTGAGAGGGGCGACCGCCTACCCTAGCACCCCCTCGGTTCGCCCTGGCCTACAATATACCAATATGCAACTATTTGACACTATCATACTAGATGAGAAGTAATATTCAACTATTTTATCGTTAAAAAAGAGTTCTAATTTGGTCCACAAACAGTATGAAGTTTTTTATATTAACATTTAAAAATAAGTTAATCTATCGTGATTTTTTTAAAAATTTTAATTCTAATGTTGTGGTTCTGATTGTCAATTTAGTACTTTCATTGATTTGGTAACAAATGAATTGATAATATTATTATATAAGAAGTTTTAAGAGAGAAATGTAAAATCTTCCTTTTGTCCATTTTACCCCACCAAACAATAAATAAACACAAGAGATATAAGTGATTAAAAATAGAAGTATATGAGCATAAGTGATAAAAAAATTTGAAATTAAAATTAAACCACATGAAATTTTCAAACTTTTCCGTGTTACAATTCAAAAAAATGAAAAAAAAAAACTTAATGGGAAGAATAATATAAAACTTAACCAGTTAAAAAAGATTTAATCTGTTAGTCTTATTA